GTGGGAATTGAACTTGTACTCAACCGCTTGGGGGTGCGACAACTTCACCACTTCACTAAGTCGCCACACCCTTTATTATATAAATTATATGAATAATACTAATTCTATTCTTAAATTTTTTTAGTTAGTCAAAAATTTGTCAAGCGAATCCGATGATTCCGGGATCGACAAGATATTTAATTCAATAGAAGCTATTTTTGTTAAATATGTAGAATATAATAAAGAGGGAAATTCTATTTTCACCCGGGTTAAAGTCACTGTCATTACGTAACTAAAATTATTTAGTTTTAGTAATATTTTGGGTGACTTTAACCCGGGTGAAAATAGAATTTCCCTAATAAAGAACGTGTAATTTATTATTAAAAACTTGTTTAAAAGTATTTATTGTTATTATAAATTGGGTGAATAGTTTTATTCTTCTAAAACGCGACTTATGTTACTTCGAAGTTAAACTATAGGGGAAATAATAATATGTAAATTTACGACTGCGTAGTTTAACCTGTTTATATCAGATATGGTTTCTGATTACGTGCCTTTCCGAAAAATGAGAAAGTCCCCCATGCTGGTAGAAACAGATAAGTTAATGATATTTTTGATGTTCTTCAAAACATTAAATATATAGTATTTTGTGTTCATCGACCATAGATTAATACAGTAATAGGCTTATAAATCATAGCAAGCTGCTGTATCGAGACAGTTGACGCTGAATATACTGCCTTTTTTTTATATTTTGCATTTTGCTTCATTAAATTTTTAACTACAACACCCAAATTTTTAGCAATCACGTGAACTCTGTAATGGTTCAATTGGTTGTACTTAAGGCTTTAGCAATGTATATATATTCAAATTTTGGCGATTACATTTATTATCAGTTATACGTATTTGAATAAACATAATATAATTATTACTGAACTTGACATATTTACGAGAAATTAAATCATGCATCGTCGTTGGGATAGTTACCGATGGAACATCTAAATGTTTGTTATAAATAGTTATCTTTATAAAGTTTCTCTTGATGTTGATAACAAATTAAAAAAAATTATGCGTACCGTAAATCACCGGATAACAGTCGATCCAGATGTCACACATGACATTTTATCATATGATTTTCATAAATTACACAAATCGACGAAATCATG